AGACTGGGGAAGTCTGTCCGAGAAACACAGTGGTGGTTTGAAGCCAGAGCCAAACCTGATCTTGGGACCCTGGGTGCAGGGCTCTTCTCGTAAGAATCCCCAGGAAACATTGGGAGATAGTAGATAATATGGCAGTCTTCGTCTTTTGGAGTACTGGCGATTGAACTCAGGGGCACATCCTCAGCCATTTTTTTTTATTTAGAGACAGGGTCTTACTGAGTTGCTTAGTGCCTTGCTAAGTTGCTGAGGCTGGCCTTTAACTCGCGATCCTCCCGCCTCAGCCTCCTGAGCTGCTGGGGTTACAGGCATGTGCCAACGTTCCTGGTTTGGCAGTCTTCTTTTAATGTGGCTTTTGTCATGTCTCTGCTGTGGGCACCACCAATTATTGGAGCCCACCTCCTCCAAGGCAGATGGTTCTGAGATTAAGATCAGGGAAGTTTTGTGTATCTTAGGACATTTACTGTTGTACTCAGAGCCATTCTTATGCACTGGGGATGCTCACCCAACCCTCCTCCCACGTGACAACTCCCTGGCTATTTGAAGGCAGGGATCCTGTGTCACTCCCTAGTATCATTGGAACCTATTTTTTAATGCCAGCTGGTCTGTGTCTTCATATAGCAAAAGCTGTGTTTTCTCCCAGCTGCAGAATCAGAGTCTCCTTTCTCCCAAACATATCCTCTCCTAAGGTCTGTGTGTAAAGCTGGAAGACCTTTCTTTCTTTTCCTTGTGTGGACCCCACTCCTCTAGTCTTGGCCTTTCGGTCTGGGTGATGACATTCTCTACCTTCTTTTCATTCCTGCATGTGCACCCTCAGCATGTTGATGCTGCTAAAAATTCTCTCTAGGAATCTTGGCCCCTGAGGGACCAAGGTACTCCAGGAATCTGCACCAAATCCGGAAGCCTGTCTTACTGAGAGTGGTGCAACCGTCCCTCCCTCCCTGGGACATCAGACCCACATCCTTGCCCTCCTCATGTAGTCATCATAGGAGGGCCTCACGCTGGAGGGCAGCCTCCATTTCCCAGCCACAAGCACGTGGCCATACCACAACCAATGCTTCTCACTCCTGGCACCTTTAGCCCTGGCCACGTAGCCTCAGCTGAGTTTCAGTCAAGAAAGGCCACGCCTGGTGGGTTTGCCCATGACCAGTGCTGCTATACACTGAGGCCCGAGGATTGGGGCAGAGCAGGGAAGGAGGGGATTTGCAGAACCAAGTATATAGTTTTTGCAGCCTTATAAGGTGATCAGGAGGAGTTGATTGACCTGGAAGGAATCCCACAGTTGACTTTTGAGCCTTTGTTTTTATTCATATGCAGAACTATTTTTATTTTAATCTATATTTGTTTGTTTGTTCATTTGTTTTTGCAGCACTGGGGATTAAACCCAGAGGCACTTTACCAAGCTGGCCTCTAGAGGCTGATCCTCCTGCCTCAGCCTCTAGAGTTGCTAGGATTACAGGCTTACGCCACCATGCCTGACTTAGAACTATTTTTGAAAGAGTAAAAAAGGGATGGGGAGATCTATGGTAATTTGTAATGAAGATAACTGGGGCTCCTGGGGTGCGGTCAGAAAATAGTCTTGTAGGGAACGTCCCCATCCCTTGAGATATGAATGTAGCCACTGCTGCAAGGAGTTCCTCCTAGGATGCAGAGAGGCTCCTGGGCACATGACTGTCGGGCCCATGTTCTGGTGGTGTTGGGTAGGTTGTGTCATCAGGGTGTCACTATGCTTGGCACAAAGTGAGATGAGACAAGATGGGGTTCTCATAGGTCCAAGGTCCTTCTACTTAGAATCTATCATTTCTACTGTTAAAACTAAAAGTCCTTTCTTAGCCTGACTACACAGCCCCTTCTAATCCCCATGTGAGAAGGGACTTTTCTGCATGTTCTCACCCAAGACCTGAGCCCATGCATGAGGTGTCTAGCCTCTGAATCTAGTGTTCTTTCTTCTAACTTCAGTGGGGAAGTTCCATTCTGTGCACCTACTGCAGCCCTGGCATGCCATAGGCCTCTGTGAATGTCAAGGGGTTTGGGTTTGGGCTTGGGTTTTGTGTTTTTAAAGAAAACTCACGAGGCGCTTTGCTGAGTGCCTTAATGGAGCTCTAACCCAAAGCTGGAAACCGCAGGGAGAGGCTGATTCCTAGCAGTCCAGAAAGGCCTGGCTCCAGATGGTCAGGCTTGAGCAGGTCTTTGAATAATACAAGTAGTAATCATTTATTGAACACTTGCTGTATGCTTCATATTTTGGTGGGTCTTGCAGATGGGTAAAACAGCCCCTGCTGTTAAACCACAAGAGGGTGGTGTCCTGAGATTGGATTTTGTCTCCCAGAATACCAGTTGCTGCTTTTCTGGCCTTTTGGAAGTTTTCTTTTGGGAGTATGTTTGCTTCATAGTCAGAGGGGAACAGCAATAACCCATAACCCAGGGCACAAAGTTAGACTCCACAGAGGTCTGCTTAGTTTTGCTGCCTGAGAAGGTGTTAAATGATAAAAGTCATCTCCTCGGCTTCTGCCCCCTTAGACGTTACTAGTGTGTCCTTCACTGAAGGTAGCAAAACTTATCCTCCATCCTAGATTTCAGAGAATTACTCCATCTCTTTATTAGGACCATGGTTTCCTTGATCATTACATTCAAAGAAACAAAGACCTCCCTCCCACCCACCCACAGTTCCTACTGCTAATTGCATAGGAAAACCACCTCTTAGAGTGAAGGATCCTCATAAGTAATGCATCAGTGCTTGAAGGGACTCAAGCTTCATTTAGGTCGTTGTTTTTAAATTTATAACATGCTCTTATCCTGTACTTTGATACATAAATGGTCAAATTCCTGAGTAACTAAGGACAAGAGTGTCTCACCATAAAAGTAGATCTGCAAATGTCTAGTGTAAGAAGCAGTGGTCGGCAAGTGTGGTGGAGTGTGGTGGCTCACTCGTGCATGTGATCGCGGCTACTCAGGAGGCTGAGTCAGGAGGATCATAAGCTTGAAGCCAGCCTGGGCAATTCAGTGAGACCCTGACTCAAAATTTTTATAAAGGGTTGGGGATGTAGTACAGGGCTAGAATGCTTGTCTAGCATGTGGGAGGCCCTGAGTTGAATCCTCAGTACCTCCAAAAAAAAAAAAAAAAGTGAGTGAAGGGTAACAATTAAAAAAATGAGTTAGATTACCAAATACAAGTAGATACTAACTACGGAGCTAGAAAATAATGATTCAGTGTCTCTTATTAAATTGGTTAAATAATGATACCTCTATGAAGGATTAAAGAGCTAAATGTTAACATCAGTCTCTGAAAGAAAACAGATGAATGTTTATCTCACCCTTATTTAAAAAAATTTTTTTTTTTTGTTTCTGCTACAGAGAACTAATTTTTGGTGCTAATCACCAAGTTATATATTTACGGAACCATTAACCTCAAACAATAATGTATCTAATGGATAACCCAGCAGACTCCCCATGTGGGTGTAGATCTGGGGAAGGAGACCTAGATCTCTAGCACCACTGCATACCCATACTGGGTCCCTCCTTCCCATAGTCAGAGCTTCTCAGCTTATAGAACACAGCCAGCCCCCTCTCTCAGTCTTTTGCAACCCTGTTGCAAAAGTAGAACAATGGCTACCCCACTTTTTTTTTTTTTTTGGTACCAGGGATTGAACCCAGGGGTACTTAACTGCTGAGCCGCATCCCCAGCCCTTTTTTTTATATTTTATTTAGAGATAGGATCTCATGAATTTCTTAGCGCCTCACTGAGTTGCTGAAGTTGCCTTTGAACTCATGATCCTCCAGCCTCAGTCTCCCAAGCCTCTGAGGTTATAGTTGCTCACCATGGTGCCCAGCGGCTACCCTACTTTTTTCAGAAGAGAGATTCAGAAAGACCGAGTGACTTGCCTGTGGTCCACTTTCTTAGTCCAGATGACAGTATTGGAGACCAGGTATCAGTTCTTGGTGAATTTGTTTGGTTGCATGCTCCGTGTTAATAGGAGCCTTCATTTCCTCCCTTCAGAAAGCTAAGGGCTCTGGTTCCTTTTACGGATGAGAAAAGGGAAGGAAAAGTGACTGCTTCAAGGTAGTGATGAGAAGGAGATTGTATTTATGAGGCGGAAAGAGGCCCCCTGTTTCTTTACCCCTGAGGTGCTCACTTCTACCCCAGAGAGTAGTCCGGACCCTGGGAGATGATCAGTGAGCAAGTTTACATTCTCGGTCATGATGGAGTTTGGGGATCACCCAGGTTATTTGGAGGTGGACTTCTACAAGAGGAGCAGCTGGAGGTTTGGAATCAATGGGAGGAGCAGGGAATGGGCCAGGCAGTACAATCAGGCCTGTGACTTCCTTGAGGCCGGGGCTTGGACGTCGCAGCCTCAGCCCTGCCAGTGTGAGCAGAGCCAGGCACAGACATGCTGGCTGCAGGAACAGGTTGGATACAGATTGTTGGAAAGAGGCCAAGCAGGGAGAGTGACGTCTGCTCACCCCTGGGAGGCATTTGTTGAGGCAGATGTACCAGGTGGATGCCAGAATAGCAGCATTTAAAGAGAAAAGTAATGACACCCAGGACCCTGCAGGGGCCGAGAACACAACAAAATTTATAAATCACTTCACCTACCCTCAGAGAGCTTTTTAGAACAGCAGGTGGATAAGGCACCGATCTCATAATGTCAATAAAAGTCATGACATGTTGGTCACTTAAACTGCTCTGCCAGACACTACGGATGTACCTTTGGCTTCACCTCTTGCCATGGCGATGGCCTCCCAAAGTGGTGGGCACTGTGCTTCCATTTTAAAGATGAGGCAGTGGAGACTGAAGAGTTTGTGGCTTGCCCAATGAGTAATAGTTGGGAAACCCATGCCGTATCACTGATGGGATGCTGCTTAGCTGGGGCAGGGCTAGAAAGGCTTAATGAGGAAGGTGGCCTTTGGGGAGGGTCTGTGGGGGAAGATTGTGGGTGGGGTGGGGGCTGGAGCCCTATCTGGTTGGAGGTTTGGCCACTGACCACTACCTCGTCTCTCCACAGAGTGCAGCAGCTGCCCCGAGCCCTGTGCTTGGCAACATTCCTCCCAATGATGGGATGCCTGGAGGCCCCATCCCACCGGGTTTCTTTCAGGTATGTGCTGGGCTGCGGGTCTTGTGCTCCTGTCACACTGTTCTGGGGTGGGTGGGCAGGGCTTCGGGGAGAGGAGAAAATAAGCACAGCTCAGTTTGCCATGGTCTAAATACAGTTGCTCTGTGCTGGTTGAAATCGTTCCCTTCCCATTGCTTTCTCTACCCCTTCCAAAAGCTGAGAAGGCGGGGAAGGGGTGGCGACCGGACACCTCCTGCACCGCGTGCGCTTCTTCACTCTGGCTTGGCAGACAACGCCGCAGGGCTGCTTCCAAGCCAGTGTGGAGCTTTCTTGTAACAAAAGGCTTTTTTTCTTTTTCTTTTTTTTTCTTTTTTTTTTTTAAGAGTAAACTGTTCTTTGTTTCTGTTTTGTTGCTGCTGTCATTGTCATTGTTTACTTTGCCTGTCCAAACTACAAACCTTAGGCGTAATCTTAAAAAAAAAAAAAAAAAAAAAAATCCCACCATCCTGGCAGGTCTCAGAATCCCTTCCCTCTGGTTAACCGCTTGATTCTTTCCAAGTGTGATCACAGACGGCGCCCCATGAGCATCTGTGCCCGCGCTCTGCCCGCCACAGGCAGGAACAGATCCCATGTGGGGCAGGAGCTGGCTTTCTCTGTGACACCTTGTTGGGCTTTTTGGCAGGGGGTGTGTGTGAAATCAGGCTTTCTGTTTTGTTGAGGTTGGGTGTGGCTCCATCCCTCCCTTCCCTTCCCTACTGGCAGCTCATTCCACTTAAGCCAGATTTGAGACCGGGAGAGGTATCAGTGTGCAGGGCTGTGAGGAACTTGATGATGAACCTCTTGATTGTGACATCACTCGTTTGTTCAAGCCTGTCCAGGACAGAGTTTAGAGAATGCACCTGACAATACACACCTTCTGAAGGGTTGGTGTTCCCAAGGAAGAACACAGAAAGCCACCAGGCTCGGTGGTGCAAGCATGTTATCCAAAGTAGCTCGGAGGGCTGAGGCAGGAGAATTTAAAGTTTTAGCCCAACCTGGGCAATTTAGTAAAACCTTGCCTCACAATTAAAAGAAGARGAGGAGGAAGAATACAAAAAAGTGGTTGTGTAGAGAAGAGGGCCAAGATTTTTTTCTGTGAAGCCCAGGGATTCAAAACTAGAGCCAGAGAGGCAAAGTCCTGGGAGTCTTGTGCCTGGTTTAATCCAGAATTTGTGCCCATGGACATCCAGCAGCAAGACAGGCTGCCCTGAGAGGCAAGGGGCTCCCAGGCACAGGAGTGACAAATGCCTTTGGGGGTTTCAGGGGCTTCTCCCATGTGAGGGAGTCCCTGGAAGGTGCTTCTGCACTGAAAGATTTCACGTTGTGGTTGATGTTAACTCCCAGGATAGGGTGTTCAGGACACGTTGCTCACTAGTCAAGAAGTATATCAGTGAAATGTAGGTGTTGCCCTAAAATGGAAACAGCAGGTCCACCATCAAAATGGTGGTGAGAGGAAAGAAAGGGATGCAGAGTTGGCAGTTCAGGGCATCAGATGGCCATATACCTACCCGTATGCATTCCCAGCATTCTGCCAGAACGAAGACCATATCTGACTCTTAGAGATGGGCACTGCCCTAGCAGTCTCAAGGTGTGTAAAGCTCCAGGTTAGACCAGGACTTGCTAGGCTCTTGGCTTAAAGTGCGGCTTTAGATACTGTAGACAAAAGGCCAAGACTTTAAATCCCCTGGAAAACCATGGTCCCAAGAAAGGTAGGAGCAAGATCAGCTGCTGCTCTTCACCAGAAGGAAAACCCAAGGGGTTGCTGTCAATGGGTTGACCCACACCAAGGGCAGCCATCTTCCTTGCCACTACGGATGGGTATTCTGCACCCACCTGGTAGCCTTTCCCACCGGTCTTCTCTCCCAGCTTGCATGTCCTCACCCTTGACACCAGGGATACCTTTCATTCAGTGCAGGCGTGACTTCCTTCCTGGTGCACAGAGCCCATCCAGGCACCACATTCCACCCCTGTGCATCCTTTTAGAGACTGCTTGCTGGTATCTGGGTGTGTGCTGTGGGCCAGTGCTGTGGGAAGAAGTGGACAGTAGCCAATTGTGTGTGTGTTTTTTTTTTTTTTTTTAATCTAGGCCATCAACTTCTCTTTTGGCCCGAGTCTAGGACAAGGAACAAGTCTGCCTGACTTGTGAGCAGTTTCCAACTTCCTGCTTTGGTATACTTGTTCAGGGTTAAGGCCTAATTCCAGACATACTTCTCGGATCCTCCCCTGTGACGCTTGGGGGTGTGTGGTCAGAAAACCCAGTCTGATTCCTGTCCTTATTTAGCCACCACTAGTCACCGTTGTACAGAGGTAGCCCTCTTGACTTGAGGTCATTTCTGTTCCCTTATCCAGGGTGAACTCTACAGACTGGCTGGGACATCCAGTAGGGAGCCATAAGTCCTGGCCTCTCTGTTTCCTGGGTGTCTCTGGGTGATTCTTTTCTTTGATTCTCTAGCATCACCTCTCTCCATCAGTCAGATGAAACGGAAATAGGGTAGGCCAGGTACTTGGCATGGTCCTTCCTTGCCGAGGTATTGATCATTTGGGCTGGGTCCCTGCAGAGGGGAAAGGGTATCTCTGTGGAAGGAGGTAGTGGCAGCCCATTTCCGGAGCAGGCCAGCCCACAACAGGAATATTAGCTATTGATTGCCAGCCCTGCCCCTCACTCATCTTGTAGGCGGCCATTCTGATATTAGAAGGGAAATAGAGATGGTATCGAGAGTTTTTATCTCCTGTGGACAATTGCAGTTCTTCCCTCCTTTAGCTGCAGTCTGGGTGGTGGCTGTGCATAAGAACACTTTTGCAGGGAGCCAGCCTGGGGTGGCTGGACCCAGCTCTGGCCAGACTCTGTCCCACCCCACGGTGGCCAGCCAAATTTTCAAGTCGGGTCCATACTGCCAGTTGGTATAGACCTTGGCTTGGGGTGAGAAGCCTAAATCTGGAAGCCAGAGGGGCCTCCAAGGTGGGTGGGAAGGAGCATCTGTCTACTCCCTGTCCCAAACCCTTGGAGAGAAACACATGGGACTTCCTTCTTCAGGCCTTTGACTACCAGGCTTCAGGTCCACTCTTAGATGCAAGGTTGGGCCATTCACACATTAAACTGTGTTGTTTTCCATACTGGGGATTGAATCCAGGAGCACTTTACCACTAAGCTATATCCTCAGCTCTTTTTATTTCGTGTTTTGAGACAGGGCCTCGATAAGTTGCTGAAGCTGACTTGCAATCCCCCTGCCTCAGCCTCCCAGGTTGGGATTACCAGCCTGCACTACTGCACCTGGCTTGTTTGCTTTTTCTTCTTTGATATCCAGGTTTCTGAGATGGGCAATGTCCTGTGATACAATATGATGAGATGTGTGTGGTAGCAAGTTAAGGGCTGGGTGAGAACTGACCTGACCATACTTCCTGGTTGGGGACTAGGGGAATAGTGTGGGACTCTTGGGGGCTTAGTAGAATTTAACAAGGACACTCTGATTCTGTTCCTTTTTATTTAAAAACAAACAAAAAAAGGTCCTAGTCTTGACATCCCCAGCACTTGGCATCTACTAGGAAGACAGTATACGTTTAAATTGAGTTTGTGTTTGTTGCTCATGTTACAGGAGAGGAACCTAGGCAGCCCCAAAGCGCTAGATGTGGCATTCTGACCATGGAGAGGATCTAATAGGAAGCCACCTTGGGAATCCAGAACTGGTGTTCTGGAGTGAAATAGAACACAGAAGACTTGACCATGCACTTGCTGAGTGACCTTGGTCAAGTTGCTCCCTATATCTGGGCCCCAGTTTTCTCACTAGTCAATGGAACAGGCTGGACCAGATGGTCTCTGAGGGCCCGTCCAACTCTGATTTTCTGCTTTGGATCCAGATGGATTTTACTTAATCAAGCAGTGGCATTTTCCCCCTTTCATGCAGCTTAACTCTGGCTGCACATCTGGCAAACCCAGTGTGGCCTCAGCCAGGCCCACTGGTCTGGGTAGGTCTCTTAGTTCCTTGGCCCCAAGGGGGCACCATCCAGTAAAGATTTCTAGGTCTAGAACTGGGGAATGATAGGAGAACAGGGGTCATGGGGAACAGAGTATTTGGTACAGATTGTTTTTGTTCTTGTTTTGCTTTTAAATTCCAATAATCGTTTTTAGTTATGTAGCTTTAAAACGTGCAGCTAGTTTTCATTTTGATCAGTGTTTGTGCAGAGGAGGCATGACTGATTGGGAAAGTGAGACTTGGAAAGGTGAATGACCTTCTCCAAAATTATCAAGCCAGAGCTATAATGGGAGTCTAATCCCAGGATTCCCAGTTCCCAAGCTGCTGGTCTTCGATAGCATTTAGAAGTCCAAGTGTAGATACATGTCTAAGTGTCTAATGGAAGGAAAGAAAGCAACAATGGCCATTTTCTTTCAAAAGTAACAGATTTCCAGTGTAGTCTAGATTTCTTATTCATAGATGTGGAAGTGGAATTCCAGAGGGAGAAGGCATGGAGTTAGGATAGTCATCAGCCACCTCTCACATACACATGGCTGGGGTTTAGGATGGAACTGAATTAGCCTGCCCACTAGCCTCCCAGAGAGACTTGACAGGTGAACCATGCCCTGTAGCAGGACGGAGAAGCCTGCGTGCCAAGACAAGAGATCAGGGAGGGCTTTCGGTAGCAGTGTAGACCATGTCTACAGTGAGGTGGATGAGAGCTGCTTGGTGGAAGGCTGCAGAGGTTGCCAGGAAGTTGTTGTCAGCCCTTGTGTGGGCTTTGTCTGGTGGGCAGCAAAGAACCACTGAAGCACTCTAAGCTCAGTGTGATAATACCTGGGCTAGCTCTGAATTCCTGAACAGTTACCCTGCAGTTGCCCCAGTGGCTCTGTGGGCACCATCCAATAAGGATTTCCAGGTTCAGAACTTGGGTGCTGCAGCTGGTGCTCAGGAAGTACCTGACCATATGAATGGTGGATGCTGGTCTTACAGAGATCACAGGGTTAAAGATGTGCTTCTCCAGAAAAGACAGTCCCAAGGCATCAAAGGGGC